GAGAGAGAGAGAGAGAGAGAGAGAGAGAGAGAGAGAGAGAGAGAGAGAGAGGGCGGAACACTGCAGGGCGCGCACTCTTGAAAATGACTGCAGCACTGTAGGCGAGCACGCATGTCGTTCATTTGAATAGAACAAACATGCGTACTATTCGAATAGAATAATAGAACATACGTGCGTAACATTTCAACGTGCGTGCTATTTGGATTTTAGGGTACGACTTCCAGAAATGGACTTTTCCAGGGAAAGTTGAATAGTACATACGTGCGTTTTGTTCAGGGGAAGACTGTAGCTCCTACTCCTGCTCAGCTCTGTGCTCCAGCCTTGTGGCAGTCTCACAACACATAGCGTACATAAGTCACGTCCTGGCCCAGCATGGCAATATGAATTTCTGGGCATCAGTACTGGTCCTGGTCCAACAGTTCTGCACCGTTCAGATCAAGTCCAATGGCAGTCCCACAACGAATAGTATACATGCGTCTCGTCCTGGTCCACAGTGGCAATATGATGTTCTCGGCATCAGTACTGGTCCTGGTCCAACCGTTCTGCACTATTCAGATCAAGTCCAATCAGCGCTGCAAGTTGGTGGTCCAAATCTGGTCTATTGACTCTATTCACATGGTTGATCTGGAGCTCGGCTCAGTGGTCCACGCACCTCACTACATCAGCAGCTACATGCGGACCAGGTCCAATGTCTGCAGATGCCGTGGAAATCCCCTGATCACCAAAACTCACCTGCAGCGGGCATAGATGACAACTAGATGACCAGAAATGGAAAACGCACAAAAGAAAGAAAAAACAAAACGAACCGCCCTATCATATGCCGCTTCTTTCACAATAAGAAAAAGAAGAGCCTGAGAGCAGACTGAAATCCCCGTGCAAGAAAATAGAAGGGAATACCACCGAAGCGTTTTTTTTACTTTATCTGTGAGTCTTTTGTTTGGGAAGCCGTTACCTTTGAAGCATCGTTTTTTTTTGTGCTGTGCAAGAACTCTGAACCTATCTGAGAAAATCCTGTCCGTTGTCCCGTTGATGTTTTTGCTAAAGATTCAGAATCAGACTTTGTTTGCTGTGTTCTCTGGATATGTTTGTGATCAAGCGATCTTGCATGTCTGCCTCGTGCTTACTTGTTGAGTTTTGACTCTATGTGTGCAAGTGCATGCGCGTGTCGGTGAGTCTCAGTTTGGTGGGCTCCGATGATGTCATTGATGATTGGCCCGGGGAAGTTGTTGGAAGCCGCCTCCAACCACATGAGTGCCACTGATGTTAAACTAGCAGTACATGGCCTCAGCCTTGCAGCAAAATAACTTGTCGCCACAAGAAGTAGAAGGCTGGCTCGGGGCAGGGTCAGAGCATCAGAAAGTTTTCAAAATTTTGGGCCCACATCAAATCCGTACGTCCCAAAAAACAAAACCAGCTTTGGCCGTGATTGCAGTTGGATACACTTTTTGGAGTACTGCCCTCGGTGAGGACACTTCGGCAGAACGAGGAACGCGGGGAGCACGACCGTCAGACTCACAAAAGAAGAACACAAAACAAAAAAGCCCAAAAACACAAAACAAGCTTTGGCCGTGATTGCAGTTGGATACACTTCTTGGAGTACTGCCCTCGGTGAGGGCACTTCGGCAGAACGAGGAACGCGGGGAGCACGACCGTCAGACTCACAAAAGAAGAACACAAAACAAAAAAGCCCAAAAACACAAAACAAGNAGGGCACTTCGGCAGAACGAGGAACGCGGGGAGCACGACCGTCAGACTCACAAAAGAAGAACACAAAACAAAAAAGCCCAAAAACACAAAACAAGGTTTGGCCGTGATTGCAGTTGGATACACTTCTTGGAGTACTGCCCTCAGTGAGGGCACTTCGGCAGAACGAGGAACACGGGGAGCACTACTGTCAGACTAACAAAAAAAGAACAAAAACAAAAAAATCCAACAAAGCTTTGGCCGTGAAAGTGGTTGGATGCATTCAGCGAGCGCGGAAAGAAAAAAACAAAAGGAGAAAAAAGAAAAAACAGCAGTGTTTTCCTCTCCCCGTGATAGTGGTCAGATGCATTCCGGAAAGTGATCGTTTGAGTATGGCGTCAGTGACGTCCTTCCACGACATCACAGATCTCTGGCATGTTTTTTCCTTCCCTTTTTTTTTCCCCCTGCAGCTAGACAGCCGGCACCGGTGCCACTTCCAAATTCCCACTGCATGTACCCACACGCAGCAGGCTCCGAAAATAGTGGCGCGCAGTGGGCAGGTAGCTTCGGGATTTTAGGTGCGGGTGTACTGGTGGTTTAAGCAGGTTTCGCTTGGCAGTTGCTCTTCGCGTGGGGGACTTGTCAGGAGTAGCACTGACATGGGAGCCATAATGCTGGCCATTCATCTTGCAACATTTCTGAAAGGCAAAAGGCAAAGAAGAAACGAAGTAGCGCATCGCCCCCCC